GGATGTGGGGGAGAAATCCCATCTTCCCAGGATACAGAGGGGTGAGGGAAAGACAAACATCGAGGATGACTCCCAGGTCTGGACTTGGAGACCAAGTGCATTTGGGTCCCTTAGCAGGGTATGATGACTGCTTTCCACTGACCAGGAGGATGCCCAGGCTTGCAGGCATGATGAGGAGTTCAGCTTAGACCTCCAGAACTGGAGATGTCCGGGGGGAGCCCTCATGGAGAAGGAGGCCTTCCACACTGGCTGCCCTCATTCTTTCTGGAGTCCATCCTCCACATGGGTACAGGAGTGACCCAAGGCTTCCCTTGAGGAATCGAGACAGCCTCCAGGGCCCTGCCCTCCTCCACACCCCCTCTCCTGCCTCCCCCCCCCCCCGCCCCCGATCTTGCTCACTGGACCCACCCACCGACTTCTTTTCCCTTCCTCCCTGCATTTGTAAGTGCTTTTTCCTCTTCCCGGAATATCCCTGCCCGAGCTCTTTGTATGGCTTGCTCCCTCCCATCCTTTCATCTCAGCTCAAATTTCACTCCCTGAGAGTTGTCTTTCCCAAGTGTCCCCACCAGCGCCACCACCCTGGGGTCTCTCACTCTCTGCCCCTTTTGTGTTTCCTTTGTAGACCTTAATGCAACTTGTTATTATTTTCTTTGTTAATGTGTCAATCATCTGTCCCCCTGTCAACCTGGCTTGGCCATATGGGCCAGTTATTCAATCAAACACTGACCTGCTGCTGTGAAGGTATTCTGTAGATGGGGTTACCAGCTATAGTCACGTCAGGTGAGGGAGACTACCCTGAATAATCTGGGTGGGCCTCAGCCCATCAGCTGAAAGGCCTTAAGGGCAAAACTGAGGTTTCCTCGGGGAAGAGAAAATTCTGTCTGTGGACCGCAGTGCCAACTCCCGCCTGAGTCTCCAGCCCGCTCTTCCTGACAGCTTGTCCTGTGGATTTCAGACCCCAGACTGGGATTTACACACCGGCGCCCCTGGTTCTCCGGCCTTAATGACACTCCCGCCTTTCCTGGGGCGCCGGCTCGCAGATGGCAGATCATGTGGCTGTGGAGGACACACACCCACACACACACACCCCTCCCCTGCCACCCCCATCTCCCCCGGTTCCGTTTCTGTGCATGACCTTGACAGACGCACCCCATGGTGTACTCCATGAGGCTGGGACCGTGTCTGTGTACCTCCCGGTGCCTGGCGCAAGCGCGCTTGTTGAATCACGGAATGGCCATACACTGGAGAAGCCAACAGCATGTGCTTTTTCCGAACCTCGTGTCCACTGCCGGATCCTCTGACTTTCTAGGCTGAAGGGGGACAGATGATAAACAGACCTCCAGGGGCCTGAGCCTGCTCTAAGGGAGGACGGAGGCTCCGGGGGTCTCACACACCTCCCTGGGGACTTCTGGCATTTACCCCGGGGGCTGGCCTCAGAGTTGGGGAGCGGGGTGATGGGACAGGGTGCGTAGTCACCAGCCTCCCAGCTGGTGACTGCGGGTCTTTGTGGGGAGGCCTCAGGCCCCACCTGCAAGCCCCTCCCAGCCCTCCCAGTGAAGGGCCTGTGCAGGCCAGGGCCTGGGAGGGGTTCCCATCAAGGCTGCTGTCTGATGCAGGCTGAAGGTGAACCCTCTTGGTGGGGCGCATCCAGCAGCCTCCAAGCTCTTTTCACTTTTTCCTCAAGGGGCCTAGAAGGCTTCAGCCCAACGTGCAGACCGGTCCAGCAGCGATCCCCTGGGGACTGAAACTTAGGGCCCTGCCCAGACATACGATGCTCTTTGTGGCTGGACTATCAGGATGCTGAGATGCTGGGATGCTGGATGCGGGCTCAGGAACCTGCTCGTCTCCCAGGAGAAGGAACTGGAAAATAGGGAGAGAGGGAGAAGCCCTAGTTGGGTGAGAGGAAGCTACGGAGGGAGCAGCATCCCCTTACAGAGCGACAGGAGAGGATGGACCTCAGAGGGGAAGAAGTGTCCCAGGGGACTGTGGCTCCCAGGAGCCCGGGGGCAGTGCTGTTCTGGAAGGAGGGAGAGTCCTATGCTGCTAAAGGGGCAAGTCCACTGAGAACTGAGAAGCTTCCGTTGGGTTTAGGCCTGGAGGGAGTTGGTCCTTCAGCCAGCGTCCTCGGGGAGGAGCCAGATGGCTCTGGGCTGAGGAGTGAGTGCGCGGAGTGACAGCAGGGCGTTAGAGCTGGAGCTGGCTGGCCTGAGGCAGTGAGGACCCTTCTCACTAGCCCAGGTCAAAGCCTCTGGGAAGAATCCAGGAGAGGAGAGGCTGACGGTGCAGGGGGTGCAGGAGAGAGGGGGACTGAGCGATGGCAGAACGGTGGGAGCTGGCATCTCTGGGCAGAGCAGCCTGGGACGACCAGGGGCTAGTGAGGCCAGGCTGGGGTCAGGTAGCAGGAAGTGCTGGGCGTGGGTGCTGCCCACACTGGCTCAGCCTTGAGGTCACCACGTGGTTGAGGTGAGAAGTGAACCCTCTGGTAATGGAAGGCGGGACGGTTCAGCAGGCCAAGCTCAGCTTTTATTTCGGGACTCTGAGGGCTGGCAGAGCTGAGTGGGGACAGCTGTGGCTCCTGAAGCCCCGTGCCAGGCTGAGGAGGCCCCGCTTCACGGGCTGGCTGTGAACAACAGTCTCTGGGCAGGTGGGTCCAACCCTTCCTGCCCCTGGGCCCGCTGAGGACAAGGGACAAGAGAAGTGGGGCGCTTCAGTCAACACTGGGGGAACAGAGGTCGAGCCCGAGACACAGAGTCGTGATTGGCACTGAGGGACGCCCGCGGGACGTATCCCTTCCCCAGACCTAAGAGGAACGCTCTGCAGGAAGCAGGAGGGGCCTTGTGAGCAGGTAGGCCAATTGCCCAGGCTTTGGGGCCGTGACTGTTTCCACCACCCCTCTGGCCCACGGACTACGGAGGCCTGCCTCCCCCTGTGGATCTTTGCCCTCAGTCACAGCCACTGAGAGTGGCGCGTGGCGGCATCTCCTTAGAGCATTTCAGGCTCTGCTGGACAGGACAGGACAGGCCTGCCTCAGTGTACCTGGCTTCCTCAGCCCCCAAAGTTCCAAAATGTGTTGGAACATTTTGTACCTTGAGGATGAGGATATAAACTCTCCCTGCCTGTTAGGGGATTAAATGTGTGTATTCAATCTGGCCCACCCCTGATCCCAGCTGGTGCTTCAGCTGCGCTCTTACAGCACACGGCGTGTGTGTGTGTGTGTGTGTGTGTGTGTGTGTGTGTGTGTGTGTGTTCCCAACTAGCGGAGATGTGGTTCCATCTGCAACGCCCCTGCCACCTACGCGCCAGATCCTGGCCACCTCGTGGGAAAGGCACAGGTCCCACCCATCTCTTTAGGGTCCCCTTCAGAATGAGGCCACATTTCGATGAAGCTCTGTGGAAGCCACTTTCTTGCTGTGAGGGAGGGGCCCGAGTGTGAGGTGACAGGAGTCCCTGTTGTTTTCGTGCAGCTTAAATTGGTAACAGCCTGCGGCCAAGATGCTGCCTGCAACTGCTGGCGGGGAGGGCGGGGAGAGGAGGAGGCCGAGCGGGGATTGGGTAGCAGGTCGGGGCGGGGCTCCAGGGGCGGGGCTCCTGGAGCTCGACGGGCCGGGACGACGGCACAGCCCCTGCATCCCGTCCGCTCAGCACCCCGCGCCGCTGAGCTCTGCCCGCTCCAGTGCTAAGGACGAACAGGGCTGGCCTTAGCGTAGACTTTGGGGGAGGGCCAGGGGACGAGGAGGCGGGAAGACCCTTCTCTCCCGGGACCACGCCTTCACCAGGCTCTTCCTGACTCTCTCTGTGAAGTGATGGACAACCTCCAGCCGCCCTATGTGGGTCCCCCTTACGTGGGAGGAGCTGGATCTTTAGTTGCGTCTGTCACCCTCTCAGTGGAAAGAGGATGGTGGTGGGAGAGTCTAGATTCTCAGCGCAAGCCTCCCCCTGCCCCCAGCGCAGAGTCACCTTAGCGGCTCCCCTGTTTCGTCCTCTGTAGAAGGAGGCGTTCGAGTCAGAAATGATGTACTTCTATGCTGTGATGTGAAGGGATCGCGGCTCACGCTACACAAACTTCTCACCCCTCTCCCCTCGGTGCCCAAGCATCCCGAGACAGGCAGTGGCCTCAGAAAGGCCTGAAGACACTAGCGGGCTTAGCTGACAGGGGTTTGTAGATACTGAATGCTCCCTGGAGAAATGAAAACATAGAGGCACTTTTCTCCTGGCTGTTTATTACAGTACGAAGAAAAAACGCACTGGTTTGAAACAGACGCCAGATTTCAAATGTAGAGGCGAAATACGAGGTGGCAATTAAAATGTGATTACACAGAGTCTGGACACTGAGAAAAGTTTACAGGACAGTGGGTGTGGGTTTTCTATAACAGACACTTAAATATACATGACGATAATTGCAGATAGAAACCATCAAAGACAAAGCCCGGATCAACAATTAATGTTTACAGACCCATTTTCCCTCAGACCACAGAGCCTTACATCAAAACAAATACCGAAAGGCTTTAAACCAGGAACATCTCACCTCCACCCTGCAAGGTGCTGCTGGAGTAGTGCCAACCGTCTGAGGGATAAAGGGAGGATACTCAAGATCCTCAGACAGTGCCCAGCTCCCACATTACCTCTTTGCTTCTCCCAAATCTACAGAACTCTCCGGCCTCCGGGCAAATAATTCCTCTGAGGGGCACTTAACGATAAAACGGCTTGTGCTGTGATATGCTCATCAGGAAAGAGCTAGCAGAGACTGAAAGGTTTGCGAAAGAGGTTAAGAACCACACAGGGCGACAGAAGTTTTAGTGGAAATGGAAATAAATGGCCAAGTGAGTTTCGATTTGGTATTTGTCAGTTTGCACAACACCTCTTGATCACATCCACCACTGCATCTAAAGCGTACGTGACTCCACCACCTGGTTGATAAGGTATGGCTGGAGTGAGCAACACAGTCTGCGTATTTGCAACAATGTAGAATAAACACAGACAATGCATAATGAACACAGCTCTACTGAAAGGAAAGCCGTCACTTTATTTACAAAGTCACAAAACGAAGTATAAATACTTCTGTCGTGAATGTTTAGGAAAACCATTTACAAAATGTTCAGATATGTACAGGTAGCTTGAAAAATCACCAGCTTTCCATTTCGTCACAGGTAGCGAGAGGGGTGGGTGTGGGCTGACGCCCCTCAAATCGTAATGAGGCAACAAGCGTGTGGCTACGTGGGACCAGCTGCGAATTTGCTGTGGACTCACATCGCTCCCCGGAGTGATGGCCACGTGGAGGTTTCTCTGGGCATTTAAAGCTCGCCAGCATTCTGGGGGATGTGGCCAGCCTGCTCAGGGACGTGGCCGGCACTCTGGGCTGCGGCAGTCTGGGCAGCAGCGTGCTGTTCTAGAATGTCATCGATCAGCCTCAGGTTGCACACCCAGTCTTCATCTGGGCTCACGCCGGGGCCTTTCAAGAGAGCTTCGATGAAATCCACCTCAGTGCAGTCAGGGGGTGAAATGAGATCGTTCAGTGAGGCCTGGGGCAACAAGGCATAGGGTGGCAACTCAGGGGGGCTCCCCACGCTGTTGAAGGGACCAGGGGACGGGCTGGCAGCGACGGTGGAGGCGGCGGCGGCGGCGGCGGTGGCAGCCACATAGCTTGGTGGCTCGATGCCCTGGATGGGACTCACGGGCCTGAAGCTGGCCATGCCTTGCTGGAGGGACTTGGTGGCGTGCAGCACAGGCACGGGACCCCGCAGCGGGCTCTGTCTGAGGCTCTGGTGGCCCAGCAGGCTGAAGCTGGGGTTGGCGGGGGCAGCGCCCACCTTCTGGCTGGGTCTGCCTCCCGGGGCCACCTGACTGGGGGACACAACTGCCTGTTGTGATGGAAACGCTGGGGCTCCCTGGGGGACTCTCACGGGGGCCTTGGCAAAGAGGGAGTTGCTATGGAAATGCTGCTGGATGCCATGGGCTGCTGGCCTCGGGGGTGGCCCCCCCAACACCGCGGTGCTCACAGCTGCTGCCGCCACCCAGGCAGCGTTGTGGAGCACGGTGGGCACTCTTGGCACGCAGGGCTGTCTGAGCTGGTGGGGACTCAGGGGCTGGCTGCCCAGGGGGCTGGGACAGAAGCCGGGCAGGGGCACTCCCGTGGGGGCGGCCTTGGGAATCCGCGTGCGCCGGCAGGTGGACCCGAGGCTGCCCGCGGGGTTGTGGCTCAAGCGCAAGGGTGTGGGAAACGGGGGGCTGGAGCTGAAAGTCCCGTGCTGCTTGCCTGGAGTTTGTGACATCAGGCCCACGCCCTCCCGGCTCTGGTGCCTGGCGGGCGGGACCATTCCTGGGCTCAGAGCGCTCTGGAGGAGCGCAGCTCCGGGTGGCATCATGGGTTGGCTGGGTGGGGAGCTTGCCTTGGTCCGGCTACACTTGGAGGTGACTTGATCTTGGACGGCTACAGAAAGAGAGAAGTGGGGGTCAGTTCCAAAGGCATCTTCAACTTGGGCCGCAGCTGCTGGCGGGGAGTCACCGGCCCAGCACTGACCTCTCACCTTCCACCCTGGGCTCTTCCCGAGCATCCCCTGCTCCCCTGGTTCCTCCACCCTCAGCCCGGACTGCAGTTCTTGGGGGAAGCCCTCCTAGACCCCCTGGGTCTGTGCTCACGGCTCCCCCTCCACCCAAGAGCAGATCATGTTGGACTGAAAATGCCAGTAGGTTGTAAGCTCCATGAAGCCAGGGTCTGGGTCTACTTTTCTGCTCAGTATCCGTACGCAGGCCTGGCACCGCCCACCCCCTGAAGGATGCCCAGTCCTTGACACTGGCCTTTCTGGAACTTGTCCGTCCTGTCCCTGTGGCTGAAGTGTGCCTGACATGCCACTCCAGCCTGGACAGGTGGGACATTCAGCTGGTATCAGACCCAGAGGAACAGGGGTTTTTGCAAGAGAATGCAGGAGCAATGGGCCATTGCTGGCCACTGGGCTACAATGAAGCTGCTGAACACCTGTCGGAGGGCAAGCAGCTTCCCCCAAACCCCAGGCAAGAATACCCTTGGCCTGGTCCAATGTCACTACTGGCTGGGGAGGACTACTTAACGCATGTTTCCCCTGCTAGTCTGGCAGAGACCGTGTCTGGTTTTTAGCTAACAGCTGTATCTGCGGCCAGTCAATGTTGATTACAGTCCTAGATGCCATGGTTGAATCAATCATCTCTTGAATCAAACAGCGATTTCAGAGTCATTAAGACTGAGCGTTTCACTGGGACTCTACTTAAGCTTTCCACGTGACGGATCCAACCAGGCTGCTCTGGAAGTGCCTTGCAGACCTCCTCTCTTTCCCTCAATGCTTTTCAGAAACATCTCAGTAACTGTTTCTGCTGGAATGAATTCTCCCCCAACCTCACACACACTCCCCCTGGCCCACCCTTTCGAGAATATCGAGTTTAAGTGCTTACCTTGAAATTGACTCATCTGTTGGGCGAGATATGCACTCCGCTGTTCAGGGATCATTGCCATAAGACCTGATTTCTGCTTCTCTTGCTAAATAGAAGATGAAAAAGAAGTGTCAGATTAGGGCTACCAAGAAATACTAGCCTTGGGATCTCTGTGTGGGGACTCAGGACTTGGCTTTGGTGTAGCAGAAAGCATGAGTGAACACACCGACACACACTCGCATGCATGCCCCACCCTCCCAAGCAAAACTCCGCAGGTATAAATAAAAGTAGGATTCTGCACCTGGGTTAAAAAACCAACTGCGACAGCGTAGGATAGGGCGGGAGACACAGAGCTTAACAGCAAGAGCACGGAGAAGAAAGATTGAGGCATTCTGGACATCCTTCTGCTCAGGATGGGGCAGCAAATGTGACATTAGGCTGCGTTAATAGAAGCAGAGTATGTAGAAGGAGGCAGGTGACAGTCCTACACTGCTCTGCTTTGGCCAGACCATGTCTACGGTGCTGACAAGAGTTTGGGCATATGCCAGCCTCAGGGAGACCCAGACAAACTGGCCGCACGCGGAGGACACTAAGTGATGGAGGTAGGGCTTGGGCTCCCAACCACGAGGGCAAAGAATGGCTGAGCGAACCAGGGATGTCGGGGCTGTCATGGGGAAAGGGCCAAGACTTGTTCCAGGTGGTCCTGGCACGAAGGGCGCGATGATCACACGATCAGATGGACGCACTGGCCGACACCCGGAGTAGCCACTCAGTCCCAGCTTCCCTTCGCTTGCCCGATTGGCCGCACATGGGCGATGGGAACGGGTTCCCGGTCTCCATCCGCAAGCTGGGTGGGCAGGGGGAGGAGCCACGTTCCAAGGCTGCAGTCCCAGCCCTGAGGCTGGGAGCCGCTCGAGGGGACAGCCGCGAGCCAGCCAGCTGAGGGCCGGGAGAAGGCACAACTGGCCCCAAGCCCCTCAGCCATTCGGCGCCAGGCTGTGACTGGGCCCCGGGTCTGCTTCCCAGTCCATTGCTCACCCGCTGCCGCCTCTGTCCCCTTCTCAAGGAGTCTGCTTCCTCGTGCGCCACCAAGCAAGGCAGCTCTGTCGGGGAGCACGCCTCCCTGAGTTTACTTTCGGAACTGCGTCCCCCGCCCCCCAGATGCCAGAAGACTTGACCGGACAACACAGGCTGCCCGGGGCCTGCTTCTCTGCACTCGGAGGGCTGGCACTTGGGAGAGTGCCCGGTGCCCGGGCCTGTCGGGCAGTTCTCGGCCTCGGTTCCTGCCAAGGCAGAGAGGACAAACACGTGGCAGTGGGCGGACCACACCGCAAGTGATGTCAGCTTCCCGCCCTCAGCCTGCTTCCTGTCCGAGCTCTTGCCCCCCTTCCCCCGGGGCTGCTGGGAGGTGGGTGCCAGGGATGTCGCTCTTCAGCACTGGAGCTGCCGTCTTCCTGCTAAAGCGTGGGGTGGGGAGACAGGACCTCAGGAGCACAGGGGTCGCATGACCACCCAAGGCCACCCCATCGGGAACTGGGGGAGCCCTGTGCTCTGCCTGAGCTGCTCAGGGTGGGCAGGCCTTTCTGAAGGCAGCCCTCTCACCTCTGTTCTTGCCATCGAACCTCCCACCAGCCCTAGGAGATCTGGGTAGAAGACCTATGGTCCCAGCTTACTGATGTGACAACTGAGGCTCACAGAGGGTAAGTGACTTGCTCAGGGTGACGCGGCTGGGGAAGTGCAGCGTCTCCTAACTGCAGATCCACTTTTTCTGCCTCCCCAGCCCGCTGCTTCCAGGAACCGGCTCCTGTGCCCTGCTGTCTACATCAGCCCTAACTCCATCCCCACCAGCTGCTCCATTAGGTGCATCAAATAACAGAAAGTTGTACGGAGTGGGGGAAGGGCAGGTGGAGGCTACAGAGTGCGACGAAAGACAAAGCAGGGGACAGGCAGAAGAGTCCAAAGGGAGGGAGGTAGAGAGGAAAGACGCCCCCAGGGCCTGGGAAACCAAAGTGAAGGCGAGGCTGGGGCAGAGGTCAGAGTGGAGGAAGTGGGCAGTGTCTGCCAGATGAAAGGGAGTGCTTCTCGAACGGTCCACAGTTACAGGGACAACGGGATGCTGGCCGGCGTTCATCCAAGGAAGCACAGAAACCCAGAGGATCCAGAGTTTAAGCGCAAGTCTGCTGAGCGGCACGGCTACAGAAGCTGCCAAGTCCAAAGGGCACGGCCGACGCCGGCCTGGGGTGCCGCCATCAGGCAGGGCTCTCTTCACGCTGCTGGGGCATCCGGGGGGGCACCGCCAGCCCTCTGCTCCCGGCCTGTCCTGTTGTCCCTGGCAGAGCAGCCAGAGCATTCTCTCCAGGCCTCCCGAGGAGGCTGCTTCCTTTGTTTTGCAGACAGAGGCCCCCATCCTTTGTTCTGAATCAATGTGCTCCAAAGATAAGCCCCAAGAAAACAGTTGTTGCCTTTTGACACTGACAATTAGAATCGTTGGAAAATGGAGAAAACAGGACGTGACAGTGGCTGCTTAGTGATGGACGCTCTGAAGGATGGCCCGGGCAACCTGTGGCTTTCCACCACCATGGTCGTGGAGGAGCTCATCCAAGGCCTGCCTTTCCTAGGGCTGCGGTCGGCTGTCACGGAGCTGGGTGCTGCTGTACCGGGTGACGCCGGCGGGGCGGCGTCAGGTGGGCCTGTGTGAGCCTAGGTGTGCTTCCCCACGTGGTCCCCGGAAGGAAGTCTCCCCAGGAACGAGGGCCCTGGCTCCTCCTCCCGCCTGGCCAAGGGGCCACCTTCACAGACAGGCCTCGGCCAGGATGGTGATCCAGGAAGTCCTGGGGCTGCCTTTCGAGGAGCTTCATGCCGATGTCCCAGGAAGCTCTGGGGGCTCACCTGAGGGCTAGCGTTCACCTGCGGGTGCTATAGGCACAGGCAGGAGAGACAGGCAAAGGGCCGGCCGAACCCCAACACAGCAGAGAGCCCAACACTGGGCCCCCCCCGGGGAGGCCAGGCCGCCCTATGGGCCTCACCCTTTGGCCACCACAGGAGGATGTCTCCTGTGAGCCCCAGACCACGCACCTGACGCGTCCTCTCCCCACTGCAGGCCAAGAACGGTCTCATTACTGATTCAGCCACTTCATAAGGCCCAGGGACGCTCTAACTGGATGCGGGATGAGGCGAGGCAGAATATGAACAAGCCTTCCACACGATGCGCACACAGGGTTCCTGCGTCTTGGGCAGATTCGGCCTGAAGTTACTTGCCCCACGATCCCCAAGAGGAGAGCATTCTGACTGGGGAGAGGACTCCAAGGGAACAGCTCTGGGGGAATGCAGGGATGGACGTGAAGCCTTATTTTGTGCAGCAGAGTTAAGAGAGAGAAGGAGGGGGGAGGGAGAGAGACGGGAGGACAGAGAAGGGAGAGAGGGAGGGGAGGGGGAGAGGGAGACAGAGAGGAGGAAGAGGAGGAGAAAGGGGGAGGAGGGGGAGGGGGAGGAGGGGAGGGGAGGGGGGGGGGGGGGGGGAGGAGGGGGGGGGGCGGGGGGGGGGCGGAGGGGGGGGGGGGGGGGGGGGGGGGGGGGGGGGGGGGGGGGGGGGGAGGGGCAGAGGGAGGGTTTTTCTTTTTCCAGCACCAGGCAGCTCCTTGCTCCCTTCCCAGTAGACAAGGCCCTGGGTGCCCCACGCAGAGACAGCCTGCCACAGCAGAAGCCACTCGCCTCTGTGTTAAAGGTTCAAAGGTTAGCGAGCTCTAGTGTGTGGGTTGGTTGGTTTGTTTCTTCCTCCAATAGGAAAAGCACCTTCTTTTGTGGTTTTGGGAAGCCAAATTTGGAAACAACTCACCCACTCTTGTGACTTTTCCTTTGAAATGACGGGAAGACAGCGTTCTGCATGGAGATCTGAATTCTAGGGACTCCCACACGCCTGTGGATGGGGACTCCTCAGACCCGAAGCCCTGTTTGAGGGGGCGTGGATGCTCTTAGGCTAAAACTCTCCTCAGGTGTCCTTCAGAAACGGGCTGCCCACAGCGAATGGCAGGCCAGCTTCAGTGTTTCCTAACCCCCGCTCCTAACTCTCTGAGCCCGTGACTCAGTTTCTCCAGAGTGCCTCCACATGGGAGTGCTGAGTGGGTCATCAGGCCACCACTCTTCCCTGCGGACCTCAGAGGCCAAGGCCAGGGCGGGGGGAGGGGCGGCCACACACCTGCCCTTTCCTCGGGCCTCTGCTCAATGCCTTTCCCTGCCCGGAAGGCAGCCTCCCTGACTCCGGGTGGGAAGATATAGGGCAGCCCGGTGAGCCCCTCTGTCAGTCAGCTGATGGACATTTCTCACGGGTCTACCATGGGCCAGGCTCTGTCCCAGGCATGGGGGTGGCACTGTGTGTCTCTACTCTCATGAAGCTTACAATGGAGGGGGCAACTGGCAAGACGCAAGCAAGTCAATCACAGAAAATCATTGCCAATGGTGGCACATCTACTACAGAGAACACAACAGAGTGAAGGGATGGGGAGTTGGGCGGGCACGGCAGAAACCCAGGCGCAGGCCGTGGGGCCCTCAGGGTACAGGGGAACATGCCACACCCGGACGCAGGGGCACCAGTGGCCTGCTGAGCTCTTTCTTTGACCCTTGGGGCCTCTGGAGCAGGAGACAGGGACCACCCCCACGGTCATGATGCTGCCCTTGGGTTTGCACCGATCTGAAGCTGCCACCGGGCACTTCACAAAATCAACGCCATCGAAAACGACTTTTCTCTTTTCCATTTTCTGCCTTTGCAGTTGACCTCCAGCTATACGAACTCTCTCCTGACTCCACCTCCATCTCGGTGGTTTCAGGGCTGCCTGGTCCCGGAAGGGCTGGGTCTACATGCTGGGATTGATCTGGCCGCAAAGGAAACAAATGTCTTTGCAGCTCGCCTTTCTTCTTCCCCTGGGGTGCCTGCATCCTCCGTCTCACACTGTGTCTGGTCTTCCTGAGTCATGGCTGAGCTGGAGGTCCTGTCCCTCAAAGCCCCCCGAGGTGGGCCCAACTTCCAAAGCTTCGTAGGGAAGATCTGAGGGCCAAGCCTCCGCCCGCCCCCCACCTCCAGTGCAGGGTGGAAGGCCTGGCTTGGCTTTGAAGAGAGATAATAAGATGGGGAAATGAATTCTCTCGAGGCAAGCTAGCTTGGATCCCTCATTTTTTGCGTTTTGGGGACAGGGAAAAACAGGTCGGACCAGGGTGGAACTCAGAGACATCCTGAGTGGACGATGCCCCAATCCATTTTGTTAATTCTGTTTCCCTGGCAGCTTTGTACTGGACAAGCCGGAGAGCACTGTGAGAGCACACAGAGAAAAGGGGGAAAAAAAAGAGAGAGAAAAATCGATAGCCCTTGAATGGAAAGCACTGCTTGTTCTTGCGGGCCGAGGCAGGTGGGATGGGGAGAGCAAGGCCTCACGTACCGAAGCAGCATTTCCATTAAAGGCCAAAATCCCGGAGGTCCTTTCAGCTGGATGAGCATCTTCTGATCACTATCACTCAGCCAATGCTCATTTCTCTAGCTTTCTCTGCAGAGAGGTCTGACATCCCGTACACACCGATATTTCATGCACCAGAACAACAGCTCCACGAGCCCAGTGAAATGCTCTGCAAAGGCCCGCTCTGGCTGGCGCCCACCATCTTTCTCTCATGACCACTAACGTGACTCTTTAGGGCAAGTCAAGCCATTTCTTTTAGAATCTGCAGGATGATGCAAACTCACGGCCATCTTGGACAGGCTTGGCTGGGCTTTCTTCTGCCTGCCCTCCCCCGGGGCTACCAGTCCTCCAGTGGGGCGATCCAACTTCCCACTTCTTGGGGTGCGTGAGTCCCAGGTGGGGTCAAAGAACACCTCGGGGTGCGGAGTCCACAGCAGATCGCTGGAGGGAGAGGCAGTTCCCGAGCGCCCGCCAGCTATGGAGCAGGCAGGCACGGGGTCGGGGCGGATGTGGGGGGTGGGATTCGGAGGTGCAGAAGCGCAGCCCCTGTGCCCCACGGACTCACAGCCTGGCCGCAGGGACAGACAGGCAGGGAATGAACTGGGGTGCTGGAAGGCCAACAGCCGGGAGGGAGCAACTGCGCCCAGGGCGATCACCACTCAGTGCCCCGAAGATGAGGCTGAGATGCCGGAGCAGTCTGCTTGCCTGGGTGGTCTCTCTGCTAGAAATCCCTCCTAGGTGAACAGAGCTTTACGGGCCGGGCTGTCACCTCCTCTTTGCCTCCCAACAACCCTGTACGGCAGGCGGGCAGGCTGAGCAGGGGACCGTGCCCAGCTGACAGATGAGGAAAGCGAGGCTGGGGGAAGTGACTTACCGACAGCGTCGCAGCTAGGCAGTAGTGGAGCGGGCACCTGCCTCCAGGCCTTCGGATCCCAGCCGCCCCAGGGCGCTGCCTCTGAGGTGCTGTACGAGGAGGTGACTCGGGCCAGCTCCTGAGCAAAGGAGCTGCCGGGCAGGAAGGACTCACTCCCCAGGGCCTGGCAGGATGGGGGCTGTCGCCCGAGGCTGACCTGGGGGGGCCTGGCTTCCCCAAGCTTGCAGGCTTTGTCTACATGAGTCTACAACAACCATTGAAGAGTCCATCAGCGGCGTGGCCACGACATGCCTCTGAATGCTCTTGTCACTGCCCTGACCGCCTAGCGGGGTCGTCTGGGTGCTTGGTTAGACACACCAAGTGGTCTGGGCCAACCAAACCCAACAGCTTTGTGGTCTTAGTTGTCTCGGGTCACAGACTCCTTTGAGAATCGGTTAAAAGCTATGGTCTCTCTCCACAGAAAAAGCACTTACGCTGGTGTCTCCCCCTTCCCAGCCCACCGACATCTTACGTATAATCTCAGGGGTTTTCTGGACCACTTACTACCCATCCGTGGGTCTCAGTTAAGGAGCCTCTGCCTCCATCAGTCACTGTCTTGTTGGAAATGGGAGTCAAGCTACGTCATCAGCAATGACCTTGACCAATCCCGATCCCTCCCCACGCCCCTCCCCCCCCCACAGAGCACACCATTCTAAACTGGTGTGTAGGTACGTGTGTGTAGACACATGCTGAGGAATCTGCAAAACCAAATGGTGAGTGCAAAACCAAGCAGTCAAGTGGAAACCTCACAGCAGCCCAGCCCTGAGCGGCAGCCCTCACTGCACTTCACCTTGCCGGGGCCCCCACGTTTCAGGACTTGCGTGTGAGTGGCACCTCCCCTTTCCGTCATATTTTAGAAGGCAGGGATTTCACCCAAATTGAACATCTGACCCAATTCTTTCAGCCAAAGGCAATTAAAAACCCTCACACTTGATATCCACGTCACAGGAGGCCTCAAGACTCCAAGGAGCTGCCGAGACAGCTCTGACATCCTGCCGAGCACAGCGAGCGCTCGGCCACAGGGGTGCCCAAGAGGACCAGGGGGAGCCTGCCTTGAGGAGAAGGTCTTTCTGCGTGAAGCAGCCTCTTCATTGTCGTGCTTTTAACGCCTGAGCTTTGAGTGATCACCTGTGTCTATCAAACAGCCCAGTAGAAAGGGAAATATTTATCCTCCGAATCTAAGCTAAACAGTCGGAGTCAATTCAATTCATGACAATAAACATGACTAAGCGCCTACTGTGGGCAAGCCTCTGTGATGGATGACAGGCCAGTAGATATTTGGATGCCGTATTTGAATTCACGATAAAAACTGCCACCACTGAATTTATCGAGCAACAGCTGTATATGAGGCAGGAACGATTACTGTCCTTATTTTACAGAGGAGGACACTGAGGCCCAGAGAGGTTGACGAAGTTGCCCAAAGTCACACAGCTAGTTAGTAGCAGGGGAGGATGCAAATCCGGGCTTGCCTGGTTCCCAGGTCCACATGAAGTTTGACACGGTGTGTGCATGTGTGTGATTAGCTTGTCATATGGAAAACAGGCTTTGAAATGTAGAAACTGTTCAAGTGTGTCATTAAGAAAAGTACAGGCCGGATTTTACAAGGGATCCCCAGGCAAAATTTTAAGAACACATTATAAATACTCAAAGATGGGATTAGGAAGAAAACCTAACTACTTGGAGAGCTTTAGAGATGACACCCCTCTCCCCAAAGAAAAACAAAACCAAAACACCACGTGAAATACGCTTAGCAAGTGAACCCACTGCACGTGGGAAGGAAAACTTTCTTTGCCATTCTGACGATAAGCCAACTACAGAGGGCCTGGCGCCCCTCCCCTTGGGCTGGTGCATTCCTGCAGAGCTGAGCTCACTGGCCACCTGAAGCTTCGCTTCGTCAAGCTCCAATTTGTCCTTGGACCAAGGTCGTCTCTACAATGGACTATCCTTTGTGCCTGCATTCCTAGCGCCTTGATAATTCAAGACACTATTTTATAGCCATGTAGGAGTTTTTACAACCCCGATATGCAACTATTCCTAGAGGTCTGATTCCTTGCCCACCCCGTGACGACACAGACTGAAAGCAATGAGTGGGGCTTATTTGTAGGGAACTGAAGCATTTTAAGCTTTTGCTCAGGAATCCCTGGTAGCTTCATGTGACTTGTAGGATTTTAGTGACGGGTCAGGAAGCAAGAACCCCCATCAGCATGAACATACGCTCACAGCGCCTCGGTAGTTCATCAGGCAGAAAAAACCCTGCAGATGGTACATGGAAATTACCAGCAGCAGAAGGTGCCCCGACGGTGTGGGCAGTTCTGTTTCGGCAGCAGTTGGGAACGGGGCTGCAGCCACCCATTCAAGTGGAGCAGAATGGGAGCAGGCGCTTCGCGGACCGCTGTAATCCTTGGTTAAAAAAAAGAAAAGAAATAAACTAGATGAGATTCAGTCTTGACTCTGACCGACAAGGAGCTTTGTAGCTGATGCTTGTGTGTCTTCTCCGTTTTATTTACTTTGGAAAAGAAACTGCTATCACACTCCCTGTTAAGTGGGAGGTCCAGCTTCCAAAGAAAAAGTGGTTGGCACTTTTCAACGCCTAGAGGTTTCCACACATAAGGTAAACCCATCTCTGTCTTTGGAATCACTGAAAATCTCAGAAAAGCAAAGCCAATCCATAATTGGTGGGCATGATTACTACCTCTCGGACTGGCCGGCTCCGCGTGATTCCAAATTTCAGATAATCAGACCCTGGGATGGATAGTGCCCGATGCTGGTGCCCAATTTCACAGAGCTCACCCCCACTGGGCTTCCCGTGATTGCTAGAGAACTTGCTGGAACGAGGTTGTCCCTGGGTCCCTCTAATGGCTTGCAGCCACTTAGAGCCCCAAGCACGTCCTGCTAAACTTTGCAATTAGGGCTCTTTGTTCCTTGGCCTCCTGCCTTCTTGGCAGGCAGGTTTCCTGTCCCATGGTGTCAGGTACACTACCCCGCAGTCATACCCATGTCCTTGGAGTTCCCCAGACAGGCTGCCGCCCGCGTTCAGTCCCCTGTGATCGCGCTCCTTGCTTCGGTAGCCCAGAGAGCCCTTTCTCCAAGTTTCCCGTCTGGAACCCTGCATGTCCTTGGAGATCCACCCTGGGAATTCTGCCTCTCCTTTGGTCCAGCTCCTCTGGCTGACTGAACATCCTTGTCGGGCCAAGTCTTAATCATCTTTAAATCCCTCTGGTGCCCAGACAGTGCCTGGCACAGGCAAAGGGTTCAGCAAATATTTGGAAAATTCAACTGACTGTATCTGTTATGAGCTTGGCACGATATCCCAGGCACTCGGGATATGCTAGTCCAGTGAGCACTGTGCTGGCTTCTTTTTGGGATGAACGTTAATGATAAAAGTGAGCCTTGACCCTCATTTTAAACACATTTACTCATCTCTTTTCAACGCCGTTGGGTTAATAAAACCCATCCGTAGAACAGAGATCATCACACCGTGGAAATAACGTCAGCTAACGTTTACTGCGCTAACCGTGCACACACACGTACATTTGAGACTGTCCCCAGTTTACAAGACAAGGAAGTGGAGATAGCTTTACCCAGGACACACACAGGAGAGTGGATACAGACCTGGACCTGATTTACAGAGTGACTAAAACCCAAGCAACTGCTGGGTTTGGGAGAAGAGGGCTCCTTCTCTGCACACAGAGAGAAGCAGTCGGGTGTCCTTCATCTACACTGGAGTAACCACGCTGTTGGCTATTCTGTGACCTCACCGTAGAGCAAATGGGCTGCGGTGTAAGGAGCTCAGATTATGACTAACCTGCACAGACACTCAGACGCTTTGCAAGAAGCGGGTACCTGCTCTGGCTTTATCAGTTATTGACCGGATTCGATCTTGGTCCAGTCTTCGCCGTGGAGGTCGGAAGGAAATACATGCGCATTCACAAGGTTACAGTTGTGTACTGTAATTCCACTGGCTTCTGGGAGCTCGTTGATGTCTAGACTTACTCATCCTGAAAGTTCAGGCAACAAATCCTGCTTCACTCCTCCTTTGCTTTACTAACCGTGTAACAGAGGCGAGCAGAGAGAGCCCACAAGAAGGAACTGGAGACTTGGTGCGTGTGCCAGAGACTCTCGGAGGCCAAGGTCACTCACGGCTGGGCTGACTTCAGAAGCCAGCCCCAGCTGTTCAAGCCACGAGTGAGATGAACATGCTAGGGTACAAAATGCTATGCAGATAGCTCAAAGAGGGCAAGGCAGAGCTGCGGAAGAAGCTGGGTCTCTGGGCAAATGCATGAATGTGCAGACTTGTCAAACAGAGGTGACAGGAGATGACTTCGTAAATGTGAAGTAATGCTTTGGGAAACCAGGGAAGTGTAATGTGAGTCAGACTTCTTGGCCTCTTACTTGCCATTACACTACTTGGCCAAATGCAAATGGGATTTCAATATATCACAAGCGTGCATCTATTAATAACACTAGGAAAAAGCTATACAACTCAAGCCTGAGATTTTGTAAGAAATAGAATTGTAGAAGCTCAACAAAGCAGCACAGTCCCACAGAACCTTGAGATGATGCTGAATCATCCTCCCAGAAAGAACAGAATGCTCTATACCTGCGCTGTCCAATACGGTAGCCACCGACCACACGCGACAATAGAGCACCTGCAATGTGTCTAGCGCAAATGAAGAACTGAGTTCTTAATTGTATTCACTTTTAATGAATTTAAATAGCCACCTGTGAATGCTGGTGACAGTAACGGAGAGCACAGCTCTTCACCATACTGGCTAAGAGTGCAGGCTCTGGAGAGAGAGGGTCTGGGCTTGAATCATGGATTTGCCACTTCTTAGCTAGGTAATTGGGGGAAGCCACTTAACCTTTCTGTGCCTTAATATCCTCATTTGTAAAGGGGAAGTAATAGAAGTGCGTCATTCATGGAGTGGCGGAGGTTATGAGGATTCACCGAATTAACTAACACACGTGTAGTGCCTGCGTGCTGTATTCTCTGAAGGTTAGTCAGTGGTAGTCTTAATGAACAATAATACCTCTGCCGTGTATCAAGCCCTTTTACAACGTCCCAGGCACTGTCCTGTGGGAGGAGGTGAGCTGCACGTACTTCTATTCCACCATCTTGATCCGCTCCTCCTAGAACTGAACATGCTCTAAGGCGTGGTCTGGCCAACATAGCTCAGCGGAGCTATCACTTTTCCTATCTCTTGGTAAAACAGACTAATAATAATAATAAACGACGATGATAATATTAGAAACATTTATTGAGAACTTAATCTAAGGCACTGGGTTCAGCCCTTCCCTGGAGTCATTTCAATTAATTAATTCTTAGAACAATCCGAAGAGGGGGGGCACTGGTATGATCCCATTGTAAAGATGAGGAAACTGAGGCACAAAGAGAAAGGTTAAGCAACTAGCTTGCTCGAGGTCAATCGTTAGTAAGTGCCAGGGCCTGGACTAGAACCCAGACACTGTCTGACTACAAAGCCCAGGCCCCGAGTTTTGCTTGATCCAATTGCCCAACTGAAACTTTTGCTAATGTGATGTATAAGCAGACCAGCAGCAAGAAGATTCTGGAGTGCTGCTAGGGTCTCATAGCTGTGCAAGGGCTGCTGGGTGGGCTATTGTGTGACCCAGGTGTTGTTTTCCTTTTATAACAACTGTATCCTAAAATGAGAACTCCAAGTTGAGGGATTTCTGTTCTGATACATGTGGTACAGGGAGTGGGAGGGTCACTAGAGAGATTCTGCAAGAAAACCTCTAAGGTAGCACCAGTCCTATCATTCGCTGGATCTCTTCTGTAAATTTGCATTTTGTAAAAGTTTCCTTTCAGCTTTTCTGGACTTTTCCTCTATAAATGTGTATAATTGACCTCCCTATCCCACCCCTCCAGGCGGTCACAAAGCACCGAGCTGATCTCCCTGTGCTATGCGGCTGCTTCCCACTAGCTATCTACCCTACGTTTGGTAGGGTGGGATAGGGAGGGTGGGAGGGAGGGAGACGCAAGAGGGAAGAGATATGGGAACATATGTATATGTATAACTGATTCACTTTGTTATAAAGCAGAAACTAACACACCATTGTAAAGCAATTATACCCCAATAAAGATGTTAAAAAAAAATCAAATAAGCTTAAAAATGTAAACATCACATTTAAACTTGTAAATTTCACTAACTATTTCAAACTATAATTGCAAACTTAATACATCTGGTTTTGTTAAAACTTCAAAAAAATGTGTATAATTGAATGTTAGTGTTTCCCAGTTTAAATGTCTGGAGCTGTTTTCCGTGGGGCATTTTTGCAGAGTGGCCAGGGCTGTGCCCATCATTGGTAACGCTGGGTTATAGACAAGGAAGACTACACGTCTGGTCAGGCTACTTGGGCCACTGGGAATCAGCCTACGAGCAAGGTGAGGTCAAGGGCACTGCTACGAGGAGCGTCACGGACTGGGTCAAAGGATACCAAAGCTCTCGAGAGTCCAGAGCCTCTGGAGCCAGGCTCTGACAGCTTCTGCAAGGCTCCTATCGTCTCATGATGATGAGGATGACGATGGTGAAGAGCTACCACGTCCAAAGCATAACCCTTCTGCTTATGCGCACCGAATCCTCCCCCGATTCCGTCCAGTGTCTCCCCGCTGCGTGCAGTAAGCACTGCTGACAGGCCCCGGGGTTCCAGAGAAGCCATCCGACTGACCATCACATTCAGGCAACCGAGGAAGGGTGCGGCAGGATTTCCTTTGGAGACTTCCGGATCGAGACGGCAGACCTAAATTCACTCCCTCGCAAAGCCCCACTAAAAGTCCCGTGAGGGGTTGGCCTGGTTTGGTTTTTAAAGACACAATCCTGCAAGGATAAGGCGAATGCATTACCCCAAGCTCAAAGGCAGCTAGACCAGCGTTAACTGACTCCACGGCCCCTGGGAAGCTGAATCACAGAATGGCAGAGGGGAAAGTGGAAAGGCAGTTTGGTCTACGTGGCAGGCTCAGGAAAAGCAGCCCCAGGTGGTCTCTGGAACTGGCAGGTGAAGTGCACGTGGGTGGCCAACACAGTAAGGCAGATTCCTGGATGGCCATCCCGCCTCCACAGCCCTGGGTATCTGCCTCTCCTCCTCTCTGGCAGAGATCTGGCTTGACCATTTGCTGCTGAATTTCCTGCTCTGTCTTCCATATCCTGCTGCCCGGATTTGCTTCACCCCACAGAGGTGTTCTCTGTTGACCTCCACCTGGAAGCTGGAGGGCCTGGAGGCAGGCTGTGGCGAGAAAAAGCCCTCGGGCCAGATTCCTTTTGTCTGTCCGGTACCACGCCCATGACTCCGCCAGGAGTCCTGACATCGGTGGGCTTTACACATGGCCGGATCCGTGGTACCTTTAGTCACTGACTTCCCTAAGAGGGGAGCAGCTTCCCTTC